GAGCAGCTAGTCACCCTAGCTTACTTTACCTTTACCCATTCTCTCAACTTCTATAGCATTTATTCTCTATAAAATTCATTTTAGCAAATAATCTCATTTTCCTTCCCATTGTTATGTGTTTTATGTGAATGACTTCCAGAGTCAGTGACAAATTCCTACATGAGAAAATTGTATTTAATACTCCTTTTAGTATTTAATACAGTTCTAATGATCAATAAGCCCTATAAAAGTAACCCTTGTATATTTTATATAGTATAGGGTTATTCTAGATTTATACCGTTGTCATTCTAGGTGGCATCATGTGTTATGTAAGACTAAGAATCAAGTCATCGCTTTTCCTTTATGACCACGGACAGCCACACTAGAAGCATTAATAGGAATTAACAGATTTGTGTACACATTTATAATATTTGAGTCTAATATTTATTTAGAGATAAGGATGTTTTTTGGTAGGTCTAATTTTCTTCCTTGTTTTCAAACCGAAAAGAAAAATGGGTCAATGAGGAAAAAGATATTGTCAGAGTAGGCCAATAACTGCAACAGGAAATAAGGTAGAATTGTAGGACGTGCTGTGGGGACGCATCCTGGCACTTCTCCCTGTCCCCCACAGACGTCAAGAAGGGAACAGATCAAAAGAAGACTGAGCCCCAAGACAAGTGGGCAAACATTCCAGTTCTCCATTGAGAAGCAGTTTCTGCTTTTGAGTAGGACTGACAGCTGACAAAACGTTAAAGGCCATGACTATTGGGTAGACTAACTACTGCATTCAAAGTACCTTTGCAACAATGCTGTGTGTATCCCATGTTATTTTTTAGTCAAAATGTAATGTTTCTTGTGCAAAGATAATCTCAATCTATAATTAGCAATTTACCAAACCAAAAATCTGATTAGAGATGTACCTTTCTTTAAAAAATATACATTTTTTAAAAAAATTTACATTTCTACAGCACATTTAGAAGGCACCTTTACATATAGCTCATATTTGATCCACCTGAAGAATGAAGGTCAGATGTTATTATCCACATTTTACAGGGCTTGGAGAGGTTACATTCTGCATGTCAGAAGATATCTAGCAATTTAAGTGTTGGAACTCCCACCCAAAATCAACTACCAGGGCTCTTAATCTAGGGAAAATGTCACAAAATGTGACTCGGGGATGGGAATAACATATTTAAATAACAGTAGGAAAATCTGAATTTTAATCTTGATACTTAATTACCACTACCTAGTAAACAACCTTAGAAAGATCACTGAATTTCTAAAGGCTTCACTTGTCTCATCTCAAAAGTGAAAAATATGGACTAGATGTTTCCAGATGTTCATTCAAAAATAGTTATTAAGCCCTAATATGCAGGCACTAGAAGATAAAAGATAAACAACACTAGGCTCTTTCCCCTAAAATAACTCATAATTGGCAGATGAGACATGCACATGAACAAGATAACCAAGAAACAATGTGATAACAACAGGTAACAGCTTTGTTAAGGGCAGAGAAGAGTAATTTAGCCAGGCTGGGAATTTTAATCTGAATTAAGTCTTAAAGAATGAAAAAAATTATCCAGGCAAATAGAGGACGTTCCATTGAGAGGGAACAGCCTAAACAAAGGCTCAGAGTAGAAAAACAGCATAGTTAGCACAGGGAATTATCAACAGTTCGGTACTGTCAAAGCAGAATTGCACAGCAGAAGAGAGACAAAGCAAGAGCTAAAAGCAGAGGCCAGATTGAGGAGCTTTTCGCATGATGTATTAAGGGAGCTGGACTTTATCCACTAGGCAATGAAGATGCAGGGCAAGGCTTTCACAGGAGAAAGGCATATTTAAGATTTAATTTTAGAAAGATCACTGTGACCGTCACGTGAAGGAAGTATTAAAAGTGGTATGAACTAGAGGCACAGCCTCCAGTTAAGACTCTATGATGAAGGCTTGTTTTAGGTAATTCCAGGAAAGGACATAAATTCAGGAAATAAGGAGCAAAATCAGCAGGATTAAGAACTCAATTGGGCGTGGAGTGAAGATGTAAAGAAAAAAAGGCATGGAATGGGTCCAGGTTTCTGCTCAAGGCTGAACTGAGACACTGAACATAGGGGGGAAAAATGACAAAATTATCTTGAGTTCAGCTTAGGACATGTTGAGTCCAAAAAATATTTAAGGAGAGATGTCGAGAAGTCAGGGGAACACAGTAACCTACTGCCCAGGAGAGAGGTCTGCCCTGCAGACACAGCAGTGTGGGCGTCAGCTGAACACAGGGAGTAACTGAAACCTGAGAGGGCCAATGTGACCACCCAGGGAGAGGGTCCAAGTGAGAAGAGTCCTTGGCCAGAACCCTGTTAGACATCCAAATGCATGCCCCAGGCAAAGGACGAAACCAGGAGAGACATCCCAGAAGGAAGAGGTGGTGAGAGAGATCACCCCACGAAGAAAGTGGCAGTCAACAGTACAAAACGCAGCCCACATGTAAAGCCAGGAAAAGAACTGAAAAATGTCGGCCAGTCTTAGCAAGCAAGTCGTCACTGGAGAGCTTATTAAAAGTGGTTTCGATCAAGTGAAAAAGAGGGAAAGCTAGGCTGCAGTGGGCTGAGAATTAGGAACAATGAGTATAGACTATCTTTTTAGACATTTTATATCAGAAAAGAAGGAATATGAAATTTAACAGACTGGAAAGGTCAATTCTAAGTCCTTTCCAGTTCTGATACTTTATTTTTTCATGAGAATAAAAAGCCTGTTTTGGTAAAATTCCATTAAAATCTACACACATTAATTTTAAGTAACATCTTTAATTATCAGGGAAAACAGGGGACTCATACTGTAGCTATCAATGGAATATATGTGTATATGTAACAGTTCCCAGCATACCTTAGAAATACCTTGTAAAAGACTGTTTTCATTTACAAAGGAGGCTGGGCAATAGCGAAACTATTGGTGAAGTAACCCTTGCTTGTTCCAACTGTTCTTTCTTTTAATGTCTCATAAAAACATTCTTTCACCCTCTGCCTGGAATACCCTACCCCTGTATTTTAATTTGTTTAACTCTTTAAGGGCGTGTTCAATCTCCCCCTCACAGAATCACAGGATGTGAGAGACAAAAAGGCCTTATAAATCCATTGAATCCAAGTGTTTTCACTATGCTGATGAAGGAACTAAAGACCAGAGAGTTTCAGAAAATGACCCGCCCAAGGTCATACTCATGGCGAAGCTGAAATCTGAACCATTCTTCAGCCAATGCCCATTTCGCTACTCGCTCTTTCCTCAAGTAATTATTATTTATAAAATTTAACACTGCAATAAATCAAGCTTTAAGAACAGTCAATTTAAAATAGTTTATTTAGTGTAAGATTCCTGTTAATACACTTCTGAAACCTAAGGAGCTGGTCTTCAACTTTACCTGTCCATTTGAGTCAACCACCTACAACTACTCGATTATATAAATAAAGATTACAGATGTCAACTAATATTTATTTCGTGGATAAGCTGACTGTCAGTCACTAAACAGGATTTCTCCCCAAGAGTGCAGCATTTATTTCAGCCTCTGCCAGTGGAAGTGTTGGAGCAGATGTTGGCAGACTGTGACATACAGTATGTCTTTAAAACTTGTTGGGGTGTGAAATTTCATAAGGTCAAAAAATGCTGCATTTTGATCAGCAGATACAGGAGTTCTGTACTTTTATAAATTATTTCAGGCAAATCAATAGCATTTGCTAGTAAAACAGAGGAACTAAGAAACTATACTGGCTTTAGGTAGGATGTCATAACGTATGCCGCTAATGTTTTATAAGCCAATTTCTATCGCTTTAAAGCAAACGCTCGCCCAAAAGATCTTTAGAATAAAAATGTGTTCTTAAGTCAACACAAAATACAAGATATTATTCCAATTGACAACAAGATTTTAAAAATAATTTTCTATTGAAAGCAGGCTATAAATATCTAATGAGCATTTGGGTGCGGAAAAATGATTTCCTTAACTAATACATACATACAACAGCGTTCTCACTTTTTTTTTAAATGAAATTCCTACATAAGAATCCACTTACATAAATAGAGAGGGGTTTTTTTTTCCTTTAAAGCTAGTATCTTCATCATTCAAATGATTTCACAAACCCTTTGGTTTACTGTTTTATTCTTCAAAAAAATTAAAAGACAGTATTCATAAAAATGGCCAGGGCTCCATACAATGGTAAAATGACTTTTATAATATTAAAGGATTTTTGTTATCTTGGATTTTCTGTAGTTACTATTTCATTGTATTTTTATTTTTTTGCTTCAATTTCTCCTATCTTTTCCAAATATGACTATAATAAATAACAACCAAAATCAAAATTAAGAATGGTGTCTGAAGATTTTATCTCAATGGTACAGACTGTAGCTGTTATGCAAGTTTATTTTAACTAACAGAACTTTAAAATGCTTTACTTCTGAATTAACAAGGAAAAACCCTTCCATTGATAAATCAGTAATGCAGGCAAGTCTGAGTGCCTGGTCACAACATAACAATAATAACTGTTGTCATCATCATCATCATTATCTGTAAGGAAGAAAATTTTAACTACGAACATAAAATCTCCCCTGAAAATTTCTAATGCAAATCACTTGTTTCTCATCATACAATCAATCAAAAGAGCTAACCAAGATTACGATAGGAAACTATGTTTAGAAATGCACCAAGTACTGCGACATCTTCAAACCAAGTTCACGCCAGCAACCAAGTTCAAAGGGCTTTGTCTACATTTTATAAAGAAAAACTTGAGATACATACTCAGGGAATTGTAATTATCACATTCAAGTGCTAACTATAAAAAATATTAAACTATTCATTATATAAGAACACATATTATCTATAATCCCTATGCTAAGGAACTGAAATTCTACAAAAGCTGAAAATTTCTCTGCTATTAAATACAAACCTAAACTTTTTAATAGGCTTCTCAAATATACTAAGATATCTGACACATAAGGTCATGCAAATAAATCAATACAAGGTGAATCAACAATCATAATTAACTTACTTGCCACTGAAAAGTTGTTGAGGGGATAAGGTAAATCCACATCTTGAGGTTTCTCTTTATATCCTATGAATGAGCCATCTGTCTTCAAAAGGAAATATCTTGGCCTCCAGTTTTTTATATATTCTCCTACATGAGGAAAGCATGCATGTTAATGCTAGGGGGAAAAAATGAACAGCGGCTTTTATGTGAAAAATAAATTATGGTGCAATATATGTCCTACAACACTAGCCTCCAAAAATTTAGTTAGGCAATTTTCTTTTAACTTAGCTTACAAAAGAAAATACATAAGCCTGCAATTAAGATTCAATAAAAACCCAAACATGTTTTGTTTTTAATGATTTCACACTTTGATAATTCATTTGCACCATTATTTCTTCAGAGAATCATTCATCTGAGTACACATTTTGTTCAGTTTTTCATTTTATCAGATGGTTGTTAGAACATATTTTCAGCCGTTTTAAAAAGCCTTGGTAAATCATCCACACAGTATCAAGGAATTTCTATGAAAAACACTTAGCATAAGAAGGATATAAAATAGATGTTTCTCTTCCATGTCCCACTGACTAATTGTGTCATTTTTTTTTAAAGAATGTGAAAAGAGTCCATTTTCTGCGTTAAATTTTGATCATAACTTGTTTAAACAACATTTTATTGTTCTACATAGGAAAATAACTTTCTGTCGAATGCTGTGAAGTCAAGGAAACGAGAAGATGTGGGTTAATAGAGCTTAGCACCACACACACATCCATGTACACAAACATCGTGACTGTAAGAACACGTAACACGGTGCCTAGCACATAATCATCGATAAATGTGTATTTTATCAGATTTTGATATAATCTATTACCTGGCTACCAAAATATAAATTTTTAGCAACTAGATCGCCATGTGCTTACTTCATAAAGAACTCTTCATAATTTTAAGCAACAGAGTGCTCTATGATACCACGAGAGCTGGAAGGCTACCTGGTCAACCTTTAGTTCTCTACTGCAAGGGTCCCTAAACCCCAGGCTGCGGAGAGCTACTGGTCAGTGGTCTGTTAGGAACTTGGCCGTGGCCTGTTAGGAACAGAGCTGCACAGCAGGAGGTGAGCGGCTGCCATCAAGTGAAGCTTCATCTGTTTCCCCAGCGCTAGCATCACCACCTCAGCTCCCCTTTAGATCATCAGGCACTTTATTCTCATGGGAGCACCAGTCTCTGTGGCCAAAGAGGTTGGGGACCGCTGCTCTACTGGACAGTTCTACCAGGCTATTCAATCTCAAATGCTTAATCATAGTACTATAAAAAATTGGAAGCCATT